TGGGCAGTGTCGGTGAGCTGCCAGGCCCAAGAGGCCCCAGTGAGGTCAGCTCTTCATGGAGAGGTCTGGGGGGACCGCAGTGCTGCACCTCCATTTCCTGGCAGTGTAACCCTGACTGTGGGTTCTGCTGAAACATGCACAGGATGTTCAGGCACCCATTGAGAGAAAGCTTTCATGAAAAAAAAAAAAACATGTTGGACCCAAGACATGGGCACTTTGATACCATTTGTGTTATTTATTTGCTTATTTTATTGCAGCATTAGAGGATTGAACCCAGGGCCTTAACACTAGCTACATCACAACCCTTTCTTCCGATTTTTTTTTTTAAGACAGAGTCATGCTAAATTGCAAAGTCTGGGCTCACACTTGTAACCCTGCCTCAGCTTCTCAGAGTGCTGAGATTACAAGCATGCATCACTGTGCCTGGCTAATTTTTTTTTTTTAATTCACAAAACAAACAGTAAAGGCATTAAAAAAATAGTGGTGGGAGTCATTTATATCAACCTCAAAAAAGATAGAGGTTAGCTGGGTGTAGTGGTGCACACCTGTAATCCCATCCACTTGATAGGCTGAGGCAGAAGAATCAGGAGTTTGAGGCAGCCCAGACAATTTAACAAGACCCTATCTCAAAATTAAAAAAAATAAAAAGGCTGGGGGAATGGGTCGATGGTGGAGCATGTGCTTAGCATGGACAAAGCCTTGGGTTCTGTCTCCAACACACAATTTAAAAATAAAAATGTTTAAAGTATGACATAAATATAACAAAAATGTTAACATCTCAAATTTGAATAGAGAGTACATGAAGTATGTGTTGTATTTTAGTTTCTATTTTTACTATTTTATTTTTTAAAATATCTTTTATCTATTTATTTGTTTGTTTATTTATTTATTTTTGGTACCGGGGATCAACTCGGGACCTTGAGCTTGAGGGGCAGGCAGCGGAACCACCGAGCTAAACCCCCAGCCCTCTGTGTAATATAAGTGGGGACTTGGGATTTAGTTCTGGTTCCACCACTTGCCTCAGGCCAGGGATTTAGCTCAGTGGTTCTACCACCTGCCTCGCAAGTGCAAGGTCCAAAAAAGAAAAAAGTAATATATTGCTTTTAGTATGTATTTTTAAAGTAATCAATTACTTTTAAGTAAGTAAATAAATGCTAGGGGGTGAAAACTACATTGCTCAGAGTCTCATCACCCCAAGACAGCCAGTGTTCATGTTTGGGGACCCTCGCTCCCCTCTCGTGTGTGGGGCTGTGTGTTTAATGAGTTCCAAGCATCTGGCATCCACATCCTGGCTGCTCCTCTCTCTCGTGGTAGCACAGCCCTTTTCCGCGTTCTGACTTGGCTCCCAGGAGCATCATCTTGCTGACTCCCATTAAAGGTCTTCTGTCACTCGCCTCGAATACCCAACAGCCAGGCGGTCGCACACTCATGAATAGAAGCCTTTCGAAAGCCTTTGGAACCTCACTGGGCTGTGCTCCACAGCGATCTGCCCAGGTCACTGAGCTGACCCTGCAAAGGCGCTTCATCCTGGAGGTCGGAGCTGCACCTCTCCAAAGCCAACTCTGTGTCTTGCCCGAAGGAGCTGCGTGCTCACACACCCAGTGTCTGGCTAGTTCACGTTTGGAGGCCTGGGTACCGCGGGAATACTTACTCAGGCGGCTGTGAGTCCCTTCCGGAAGTTCTCTCCCACGCCCCTGACTCTCTCTGCGCTTGAGAGCTGCTCCTGGGTTGTAGCCCCGGAAGTGCAGAAGCCAAGACCACTCGCTTCCTGCTGCCCCAGACCCCTTCCAGGACCCCTTTCCATTCCTGAACGTAGGCCCAGGCAAGAAGAACCTCTACCCTGGGCGCAGAACTGTAGAGGGTGCAGCTTGGGTCCTCTGACCACCCATGCAGGACTGTGGCTGCCAGCGCCTGTGTCTGCCACCCATGCAGGACTGTGTCTACCACTCGGCCCTGGAATTCTCTGAAGGCTGGGAGCACTTCCTGCACCTGCACAAGCCTGTGTCTGACCTGCTGAGGGCCGGACCGAGAGTGTGCACACCAGGCTCCAGGGCGGCATTTTGCAAGGGGCTGAGGGATGAGGACAGCGTGAAGGCGCGGAGGCTGAGGCAGCTTCCCTGCAGTGGAGCTCAGAATTTCAAGGACCCATCTTTAGAGTGTTGGCATGTGAACCTCTTCTCTTGCCTTGTGATCCTTGAGTTTAAAGCACAGTCTGGGCTCTTTGTCACTGTGCTGCTGCGGGCTTCCCTTTCTCTGCCAGAGCTACAGATGTACTGAAGGGAGTGCACAGGAAAGCAATCTAGTACCTAAAAAAAATAAAGCAATGTAGTGTGTAAAAACCTCCATGCAGCAGACACCCCCATGTGCACGTGTAAACACAAGAAATGCATCGTGGGACAAAATAGAGTACAACCACCTGCTCTGAGGATGAATCAGACTACAAGGATCCAGCAAACGCAGAAATAGAAGCCAGCTAGTAAGCTGCAATCTGCCATTCTCCCTGCACGTCCCGCTTCCTGCGTGTGTCGCGGGACTGCTGCCCCCTGTTGGTTGTTTTAAGTTTGCAAGAAGTCAGACCCCTGAGGCTCCAGGACAGCTTCAGCGTGTAAAACTAAGTGGCAAGATTCTTCATCTAGTTACTGTTTGACCACTGAACTGTTTTTTTTTTTTTCCAGTGCTTTAGTCTCTAGCAATACTGTGTTTAAGAATGGGAATCAAGGATTTAACTGAATAGAGAAGCATGAAATCATGAAGATGATTTCACGGCTACAGAAGGCAGGCATAAGCACCTAGGTTCTGAATAATTAAACCTATACCTCTGGACAAGGCTTTACCAAATCCATCTTGTAAAATGATGTTTTACTTAACTTTTACAACTGTCCAACCAGGAAGGTATCCCAGGTACGGGTAAGGAACCTGCATTTCAGAGAAGTTACCCTATTGGCTGCAATTTTCCAGTGGGCTGGGGGGAACAGAGCAGGAACTGAAGCCGGGCACCCAGGCTCCACATTGACTCAAATAGGAGGACAGGTTTTCCCATGCTTTGGCGGGGGCTGTCATATTATGGGACCTTCTGTCAGTTATTTTAATCTTTATAACAAAGTTCTGTCTGGGAACAACCCAGTCACCTGAAACAACCTTTGGGAAGTGCTAAGTGTGGAAATTTATAGACATCACTAGGCCAAATTAGTTTGTTTTTTGTTTTGTTTTGTTTTGTTTTGTGTTTTGGCTTTTGAGACAGGGTCTCACTGTGTAGTTGACACCTGGAACTCACTGTGTAGCCCCGGCTGCTCTCAAACTCACAGCGATCCTCCTGCCTCAGCCTCCCAAGTGCTGGGATGACAGGCGTGCTCCACCACGCCTGGCTCCAAATTAGTTTTTAAAAAGTTGGAGAAAGGGCTGGGGATTTAGCTCAGTGGTTCCACCATCTGTCTTGCAAGTGCAAGGTCTCCCAAAAAAGTCTCTGGTACAAAAAAAAAAGTTGGAGAAAGCCAGACATGGTGGTACAAGCCTATCATCTGGGAAAGCTGAGACAAAAGAAGGATCAAAAATTGAGGCCAGCCTGTGCAATTAGCTTGGTCTCAAATACAGAATAGAAAGAGCTGGGTATGTAGCACAGTAGTAGACCATTCCTTAGGTTGATCCCAGGGCCACAAGAAAGTAGTTGGGGGGGCATGGATTTAGTTATTTTTCTGCATGGAGGAGATACTTTGTGATTGCAAGTGAGACCTTTCAAAGATTTCTGCTTGAAGTAACCTTGTGGAGATTATGAATAGGATCATTTTTCACTAATAAAAGTCAGACATGCATCTAAAAAGTGCAATATCTCAGACAAGCTAGACAAAGCTAATGTGCTTGAAAAAACTGAAGACAGTGACCCTGATGTTGAAAATGCATGTGAAAAGGGTTTTTTGTTTGTTTTGTTTTGTTACACTGGGGATCAAACTCAGAACCTTGTGCTTGTCAGCAGATAGTGGAACCACTGAGCTAAATCCCCAGCCCTAAATAAAAACTTTTTCCATTTATTTATTTTCATGCCGGGGATCGAACTTAGGCCCTTGAACTTGCAAGGCAGGCAGCAGCACCACTGAGCCAAATCCCCAGCCCTTGTTTTTGCTTTAGAGACAGGGACTGTATAATTCAGACTGGCCTGGAACTCACTATGTAGCCCTGCCTGGCCTCAAATTCACAGCAATTCTGCCTTGGCTTACCAAGTGCTGGGATTATAGGCTGTGCCACCACACTCAGCTTTCTTTCCTTTTGTTTTGTTTTGTTTTGAGACAGGGTCTCACTATGTAGTTGAGATTGACCTGGAACTCACTTTGTAGCCCAGGCTGGTCTCAAACTCACAGCGATCCTCCTGCCTCAGCCTCCTGAGTGCTGGGATTACAGGCGTGCACCACCATGCCCAGCTCAGCTTTCATTTAAATGTGTTATTTTTTTGTGGCTCTGGGGATTGAACCCAAGACTTTACACGTCGCAGGCAAGTGCTCCACACCTAGCTATACCCACAAAATGTTTAAGTAAATTTGCTTCATGAAATGTCAGAATAAAAGAAATACTAATATATCCAAATTAACATTTAATATATTATTATTTAAATATATGATTGTAGCTAAGCAAATATTTTAAATAGATGTTTGATTATGCTTTGCATTATACTTGGACATTTAGTCATGTATACATTCAAGTTAGCAAGAAAGTTACTTGAAGGGAGGTCTTCTCATTGGGAAACAAGGGGTTGGCCTTGGGCCTGGTGACACACTCTGGTTTTTCCAACTGTCAAGGGGAGAGCCGGATGAGGAAGAAGCAGGTTTGCTGCCGGCTTCAGTGCCTCCACTCAATCCCTTACTATTCCCCAAACCTTGCTGTATTTGGTCCTCACAGCCTCTTGTGAAGCAGGCTCTGTTTGTCCTAAGTAGACTGAAGACCATGACTCACCGGGCCAGGGACTTAGGTGCAGGGTGGGCTGTGACAAGACCGTCTCCCCTGTCCCTCAGGCAGCGCTGGTTGGAGGAACCACCATGATCATCGGCCATGTCCTGCCTGACAAGGAGACCTCCCTCGTGGACGCCTACGAGAAATGCCGGAGTCTGGCCGATCCCAAGGTCTGCTGTGACTACGCCCTTCATGTGGGGATCACCTGGTGGGCGCCCAAGGTAACAGCGCCGTGCAATCTGGGAAGAAGGTACAAGTGGTCCTGTGGGCAGAGGGGCCGTGGCTCAGCCAGCCGTGGCCTGGTGCTGTCCTGCATAGGAAGGTCCCCCTCCCGCCACCAGCCTAACTCCCTACGTGCCAAAAGGAAACCACTCGGGACTCATGAGGGCGGTGGGTGGGCCTGCCCTCTTAACTTCAGGAGGCTGTTTTTCAGCAGACAGCTCTCGTCTCACAGAGCAGGCCTCGGGAGCTCAGGCTCCTTGCTCCACTGCATGCTCTTGGTGTGTCCTGCTGTATCTGTGAGGATAGCCCTCAGGGTGCTTCTTTCTCACTGGGGCCCACAGTCCTCCTGGGAGAAGCCCCGCGGCTGTCCTGGGCTGAGGCTGAGGCTGAGGCTGGCGACTCCCCTGAGCCCACTGGTGTCTGCGCTTGCTCTTCCTGAAAACAGCCCTGTGGGCTTTTAGATGCTGCTTAGTTGGAGTTTTACTGCTTATTACCCAGGGAAGCTGCCTGAATATTCATTTGTTCATCTATTGTTTATTAAGCCAAGAAACATAAAAAACAACATGCAATTAAGATGTTTTACAAAGTTGTGCAGCTGTGGGCCCTGGTCTAAAAGGTCCAGCTCCTTGCCAAGATGGTCGTTCAGGGCCTCCTCTACCTCTGCCCTTGACTTTTAGCCTTGGTCAGGGCTCCCCGGCTCTTCCTGTATTTCCAGCCTGGCAGTGATGGAGAGCACTGGAGCCCTGGTGCCCTGGCAGCGCCAAGGCCCTCTGGGTACAGACTAAGCACGCAGACCAGGTGACTGTCGGCATCCCTCACTGGGGATTCTCTCAGATGGGTCTTCTCGGGGCAGCCTTTGGGGCGTGACTCCTACCCCAGCCTCTGCATCCCCTGCTGGAATTGGCCTGGCCTAGTGAGCCAGGCAGCCACCCCTAAGTCACCAGAGATTCTGAAGACTGTCAGGCGTCTAGAATTTAAAAAAATTTAATAACAAATAGCACTTTCTAATTACAGATTTTGAAAGTAGAAAAGTCATAACCCAAACTTGTTGCTTTAGCTCACTTCTTTCCAGTCTGATTGATTGTACATATTTTTCACATAGTAACTTTCTGCCTGAGTGTATTTTCTGTTTTGCTGCGGTCACTAATGTTTCAAGCTCTTCCCTCCTATTAGATCAGTATTTTTTCCCTAACAGAACAACATCGGGATGACTATCCAGGTTTGCATTGCTTTGTTGGTGTTTCGCTTTGTTCCTAATCTGATGTAAGCAGAAATGTGCCTTCTTTGTCATACCATTTCCACTATGAAGGGAGGGGCGCGGGGCGTAGGAATCGAAGTGTTATTCCTGCATTTACCAAGAATGCTGCTTCGAAGGCACAAATATGGGACGAGCATGCCTATTATCTAAGGCCATCGTTTTCTCATTGCTGCTTCATGCCTGGCAATTTTCAGATCACTTCTGGAGAGCGAGACCCTGTGGGTTTCGGGGGTTTCAGGTGGCCACGGGGTGACTCGACTGACCGTGCTGGGCCCGGTCCCCACATCTCCTCCTCGCTGGGCCAGCTCCGGGCTCTCAGTGCTCAGTACACACCAGGAAGTGCCTTTGCATGTTGCTCTGCAGGTGAAGGCAGAAATGGAGACGCTGGTGAGGGAGAAGGGCGTCAACTCGTTCCAGATGTTTATGACCTACAAGGACTTGTACATGCTTCGAGACAGTGAGCTGTACCAAGTGTTCTACGCGTGCAAGGACATTGGGGCGATCGCTCGCGTTCACGCTGAGAATGGGGAGCTCGTGGCTGAGGCAAGTCTGCAGCAGAGGATGCGGGATGGGGGTGGCAGCAGTGGAGGAGCTGGCAGGGGGTCCGGCCAGCTGTCACTGATCCTGCAAGGTTCGGCAAAACAAGCTGTAAAGCAAAATGAGAGGTGTGAACCCCTCAGGTGCCCAGTCTTAGTCAGAAGATCTAAACTTTTCTACTGTATATAAATAAACAAACAAACAAAAACAGCGTCTCTTTCATTAGTCCAAAGAGGTTTCTAAGTCTTGGGTGACAGTGCTTGAGTTTCTAATGCTGTGATGTATTTTTGTTAGTACGTATTGAGTTTACAGAATGCTGGCATTGTATAATTGTCATTGTGACATTGTCATAAGTCATATAACATGCTTTGATCGTGTTTATCCCCTGTGACCCACCTTCAGACTCCCTGACACCATGATACAGAAGTTTTATCATAGCAAGAGTTTGGAATACTTTAATGAGATTTGACATATAGTGTAAACAAGAATCTGCTTTTCAACTTCCTGCACCTCTTCAGAGCAGCTAAGATATCATAGAGATTCACTTTCTGATACCAAGAAGGACAGGCCTCTTCGTTCTGGGTCACGGGAGAAAGCTAGTGTAGGAGTTGCTGAACCCAGACATTGGTCTAGATTTCCAGTGAGCAAACTCCTTCAAACCAAAAAATAGTACTTGTCTTTGGTGTCCCACACCTACTGGCTAATTACTGAACTGCATTTTTAAAAGAGAAAGATACATTTGTTTATTTAAAAATGAGAATCAGGACAGCCTTACCGCATGGTGGTCCAGCGTTTATTCTGTAGAAGATGAATATTATAGGTGTGAGACATGGCTGGCCTGCTGGCACGGGCTTTGTAGCATATTTCATTGTCTTTGGGGTTCAATTTTTTATTTTGTTTGTTTAGTTCAGTACTGAGAAGTGAACTCAAGGCCTTCTCACTGAGCTACATCCCCAGTCCTTTTTATGTATTTATTTTAATTTTGAGACAGGGTCTTGCTAAATCACTAAAGATGCCCAGGCTGGGCTTGAACTTGAGATCCTCCTGCCTCAGGCTCCCAAAATGCTAGAAGCATAAGTATGCACCACCATGCCCAGCTCAGTATTTTCTTTTACCTGTTTGACTCAATTTTTCTTTCTTTTGCTATTACTCAGGGTGCTAAGGAAGCACTAGACTTGGGTATCACTGGCCCAGAAGGAATTGAGATCAGCCGTCCAGAGGAGGTGAGAAAGTCTTTCTGTGTCCTTTGTCAGCTTCTTTCATATAGACTCACAGAATCATAGGGTAGAAAGGACATCCAAAACATAAGGTGTATCACTTCTCCATGGGTAGAGTTCCCTCCCATATGAAGTTTCCCAAGGCTAAGACCAACAGCTTCCTCCAGGTTAAGGCCAACCTGACCTGGAACTTCTTGGAAGAGACAGTGTGGAGAACAGTGTCTTCCCCACAACATCGATTCTGATGTCAAGACTCCAAGGGAGGGCCCCTCCTGCTCCTTGTCAGGCGCTTGGGCACTTCCCGTGTGGAGGGCTCTCAGGCAGGTGCTGGCTCGAAGGGGATGATGAAGCCTGGCTCCTTCCTGTCATTTGTTTCTAACAGCTGGAAGTGGAGGCCACTCACCGTGTCATCACCATTGCGAACAGGGTAAGTAGGCTGGTCCCCGTGCCGGATCCTGTTTGGCTGTCATTCTCCTCTGGGGGCCAGCCCCACATGGTTCCCAGGCCCCTGAGCTCTTTGCTAATGGGTGCTACTCCCAGGGTTCTGGAGAGCGTCCTACTTGCCCCCGGCTCTCTGTCCCAGCCCCTCCAGTGAGCGGGGATGACAGTGTCCTTTCTCACAGCGAGGCTACTGTGGACCAAAGGAGCCAAGAAGGAGAAGCGTTTTATAAACAGTCGGACCTGTGCAGGTCATTTCTCCCAAACCATCACAGAGAGGTTCGGCTTGCTCAGATAATCTGAACTATCATCTGTAGAGCTGAAGTTTCCAAAGTGGGATCCCTGGACGGCAGTGTCAGCACTGCTTGTCAAAATCGGGGCCTAGAAACGCAAACTCTTGAGCCCCAGGCAGAGCCACTGAATTGGAAACAGGGAATGGCTCAGTCAACTTGTGCCCAGCACAGCAAGCCTCAAGCCAGTTCCCAAACTCACATGTCCTCCTGATCTGATGATTGCAGAAGGCATCAGAACAACATCTGGGGAAACAGTGTCCCATGAGCTCTTTGCAGGTCTGACAGCTGAGCAAGGATTTGGTCCCATTGCCCGTGGTGACAGCTATCTACCAATCACTTCCTGGTGGAAACTTACTCCAGAATAAGGACAGATCTGAATGACCAAAAGGGGGCTTTTTGTTTTTTAGCTCAAACATGTGGCCAGAGCATTTCAGCCCAGGACCACAGCCCCACAGTGTAGTAGAGGAAAAGCGAGTCCTTCTGACAATCCAGGTGTCTGATCACAGATCTGTCTTGTCTGGCCTAGACACTGAGCCCTGTGCCTCTGTGTTTTCATCTCCGTCTGCTGATAAGGCAGCCTTTAGACCTCAGGTGCAATGACTTCAGACAGGGTAGAATACACTCCTGTCTCTAGGTCATCACATTTATGAAAAGGAAATTAAAGTACAAAAAGTAATCCCTTCCTTTGAATTCTAGTCGTGGTTGTCAAATGGGAAAGTGATTTTCAGGCTCAATAGTCTAAGTCATCTCCCAGGTGGCCTCCGCAGCAGGCTCTGCCGCCTGCCGCCTCCTGCTGTACCGGCTGTGCTCCAGTGCCAGCCCGGCCTTCCTGGGACGAGACCATCTCTTCCCCTGGAGGGTGGTGCTGGTGCAGGGCTGACTGCGCATGGGTTGTTTTCATGTGTCTCCTATTCCTGTTGCTTCCTGTATTCAGACTCACTGTCCCATCTACCTGGTCAATGTGTCCAGCATCTCTGCTGGTGATGTTATCGCAGCTGCGAAGATGCAAGGTGAGCTTTTCAGTGGTGTGTGCTGTGTGTGACACTGGAGAGCAACGGGGTCCACCATCAAAGTGCACTGCCCGGCTCAGAGAGCCTGGGTTCTGTCCACGGCAGCTGAGTCTTTCCTGCTTGGGTGACAGCCTTACAGAAATGTGTCACCTTGCCCGGGTCTGGTAAAACTATCTAAGTTTTAAACTGGTTCATTAATTAGTGTCTTTTGGGTCTCAGGTTTTTACTAACTGTTGCCTTGGCAACCAACATAAAACCCTTGACAGTTCCTGTGGGCATTTTGGGGTGTGGTGTGGAAATCCCTGGAGAATCACGCTGTGCGGCTGACTTCCCTCTCTAGCCACCTGGCACCCTGTGCCCCAGCCCTAAGGGGCACTGTGTGACTCAGTGCTGACAATCTGCCAGTGCCTAAAGGCTTTGTAGTTGTATGGAGTCCAGTCCGGCACAGGGTGTTGGTGTGGGCCTGGTAACAGGAGAAACTGAGTCACAGTCACTACCGTAGGGATGTAAGTCAGAGGCAAGGGCACCCCAGCCTTCACGCCATTTTTGCCTTCTAGACACCCCGCTTCTCCCCTAACTGAAGCCCCTCTTGGGGTCTCACCCGGACTGTTCCCAGCTTGCTGGATGGCTCCCTGCCCTCTGGCCCTGTGCTGGGTCCCAGACAGCAGTTCTCTCAGAGCTGCTGACAACGCCTGTCTGCTCCCGACGGCTCCTCTGCTCCTCTGCCTGACATTCCTGGCCTCTCCACAGCACCTCGCACACACCCCATACCCATGCCCTGTCCACACCAGTCTCCCCCAAGCACCACTCAGTGCTGCCCGGCCTCAGAGCCCAGGCCCTCTGTGCCCCTTGCCCAGAGTGAGCACGGGAACCGGGCAGTCCTGGACTGGAGCCCAGCCCTGCTCTACGTGCCTGAGCCTCCTGTTCCTGCCGCTTCCTGTGTTCAGACTCACTGTCCCGAGCAAGCTTGGGAGGTCCCCTTGCCTCTGCCTTTGCCTCTTTGCCCGTTAGCCTGTGAGATGAAAGGCTCAGACCCCTGATCTCTTGGGTCCAGAGGCTTCCTCAACATGGTTTTGACCCTTTTCCCTCCAGGGAAGGTGGTACTGGCCGAGACCACCACTGCGCACGCCACGCTGACGGGCCTACACTACTACCACCAGGACTGGTCCCACGCAGCCGCTTATGTCACGGTGCCGCCCCTGAGACTGGACACCAACACCTCCACCTACCTCATGAGCCTGCTGGCCAAGTAAGGCGCCTCAGCAGGGTGGAGCAGCCACTCACGCCCAGGGCACTCGGGGTCGCAAGTCCTCCGGAAGATGTCCGAGAGCCCAGAAAACAAAGCCAGCTTGGTCTTGTTGTGCCCAGAGGATGTTGTTGCTTGTACTACCTTCTCAGGGCCCATTAGATGATGGCCAGCTGGTCACCTCACGTGGAGGGAGAGCTTCTGAGGTGTGAGAGGAAAGTGTGACCCTGAAGCTGCAGTCAGTGGTTACTGAGCATCTCACAGGACAGGGCCGCGTCCCTCGGCGGCCTGCAGGGTGTGGCCAGACCACTGCCAGAACCTGTGTTCCTACCCTCACCTCACCTCTTCCATCCTCTCACGTCTCTCTCCTCAGGCCTCCCTCCTTCTCTGTGCTCCTCCTTTCTTTCTTCCTCCCTCCTTTCCCCTTGGTCCCCATACCTTCCCTGCAGATCCCTTTTCTCAGCTCCTCTCTAACACTGCTATTCCCCGCTGATCCCAACCGAAGCAAGAAAATGGCTCGATGAACAGCCTGAATCCCATGGCACGCCATCATGGGAAGGCGCTTTTCTCACCCTAGTAATGTCCTGGGGCGGGGCCGCACCTTCCTCATCAGTGTTGGCTGTTAAAGGCCTGTGCAGTTGAAAAGTCAGGCCGCTCCAGCAGGGGATTTAGCTCAGTGGTGCCACTGCCTGCCTCACAATCGCAAGGTCCAGTGTTGGATCCCCGGCACCAAAAAAAAATTAAAAAGCCAGGCTGCTCCCCTCCACTCCCCAGGTCTGCTCAGCCTTAACACCCCTTAGCAGCCTGATCTTGGAGGCAGGGCCATCGGTGTACTGCCCAGCGGGTGCGCATGGCCTCGCCTCTGCTCCCCTGAAATGGCCTCCTGACCTCAGGGCCAAGGATGGGCAGAGCCCCCAGAAGGCCTCTCCATCCTGCTGCCGCACAGTCCCCCTGTCCCTGCTTTCACAGATCTGGGGGTAGGAGGCAGAGCACCTCTGGGATGATGTGGGATGAGTGAGGGTAGTGCCCGGACCCTCCAGAAAATGGGGCGCTTACCTCATTCCTGACCTTGGTTCTCAGTCCTGGTTGCCAATAACCAGAATATTCCCTCTCAGCATCGCACATGGTAACGCCCTGAAGAGAGGTCTGAGGAGGGGCCTCTGCCACATGTATGGGGGTTCGGTGTGCACCCTGGCGCAAGGGCTATCAAAATACACGGAGAATGCTTCTTACGTTTTAAATGCTTAAATACGATAAGAGACACATAGACATCGACCTCTTAACGTACTTCCCCTCACTCCAGGCACACCTATCCCATCATCCTTGCCATTCTCTGAAACCGTTCCGGAAGTGCTCTTCTGTGTCTTTAAGAGTTGTGATCAGAAATAGCGTGAATGCTGCTGCGGTGCCTCGCCCTGAAGGGCAGCTTGTAAAAGCCGACAGTGCACCCACAGCCACTCATTCACCGGATCTGGCACCGTGCGACTTCGGCTCCTCCCCAAAGCCAACATGACCCTGAAGGGTGAACATTTTGAGTCAGTTCAGGAGTCCGGGCGGCCACAAAAGGACAACTAGCGACATTTGTGAGAGAGGACTTCCAGAAAGGAAGTGGCCAGGATGATGGGATGTTTAAATCTGTCATATGTGTCAGTCACCTCCTGTGTTCTGTCCCGTGGGTGATACTAAGCAACTCTTCTGGATTGAGATAAACTCAGAGGGTAAAAATGCAAGAAAATAATAGAGCCGCTCCTCCTCCTCAAAATACTTTGCCTTGGAAAGACAGCCGCCTTTTCATCATTGCCAGTGCAAAAAAAGCAAACAATTATCAAAAATCTGCGATGACAGTTTCCTTGGGCTTCGTTCCAAGGTCAGAGAATCTTGTGAAATACATCTTTTTTCTACAAGAAGATTTACTGAAAGAACAAAAAGATAGTAAATGTCCCAACACACCTTAACTACAGGATCCTAACTCATGCAAATTGAAATATGGAAAAAAAGTATTATTAAATACTTAAATTTTTATGTCTAGCTTATTTTGTCCCACTTATTTTGATAAGTTAAATAAGTTCTGCTCATTGAAGGAGAATTGTGATCTCATATGTTACAAGAATAGGATGAGTCCTCTTTTTTAATTAGTACCTATTGAGAATGTGTACTGTTTTATGATTTAGAGGATAATTTTAACATTTTACTTATTTATAGGAATTTATGATTACTATAATTTTGTTTTTACATATTACTGGTATAATTTATATGGCACAAAATACATGAGAGAAAAAAACTCCAACACGGTTATTCCTGTAAGAAAATGTGATCTGCTCCATCATTATCTACTTTAGGATGTGATTTCTTAGGCTAAATAGGAATCATTTTCTAAATAGGAATTTTTTAAGAACACAGCCTATACAAATAAAGACTTGCCCTTTATTTATGACTTCTTAGGGGGGCCAGAAAAATTTTTCATGTGAACATGTAAGATTATAAATTGCGTATTTGACAAAAATAGTCATGTTTTAACTTTAGAGAGTTTAGATGGGTGTTTTCTGTCTCCCGGATCTACAGCCACAGCGGGAGACCTCAGAAGCCCTTCTGGAGAGGGATCGGGTTTATTCACATCTGCTTGGTGGCACTTGCTCGAGTGGGAGCCTTTGGAGAGAGCGGGTGCTCAGTAGGACTTGCTAGTTAAAGAATGGGAGCTAAGGCTGTGCTTCAGGGTCCTGACTATGTCCCCAAACCTGTGACAAGGACCTCCTGATCCAGGTCCTGCTAGTGTCCCGAGGCCTCTGAATAGCCAGAGCCATGGGGAGATTCCATTGACGAGCAGAGCACGGATGGTCTGCTGGTGCAGGGGACGAAGGAGCCACAAGGGCTCTAGAACACCCTCTGCTTTGGAGGAGAGGCCTTCCACTGCCTGAGGGAGGTCCGCCCATGCACAGGAAGATCTGTGGTCGCACTGTGGATTTGGCCGAGGACATTATTTCTAAGTGGCGAGCCCTGCAGGCCCCAGAGCAGGCAGCCCTGTGCATGTGGGAACGGGAAACCGTCCGAGAGCAATGAGATTCCTATGTCCGACCCTTGGGGCCCCCACTATGTGGTCCCAGAAGTTGTCACCAGCTTTCTCTGATTCTTCCTGCTCCAGCCAGAGTCCTCCCTACCCTCCCATAGCATGTCCTGCTCAGGTTGCCCTGGTTTGGGGGGCACAGCATTCCTTCTCCTCTGCTCCTCCCTGTCTCTGGGGCTGCACCAACATAGATCCTGGAATGTGGATTCCTCCGTTGGCAGAGGGTCTTCCTCCATGTGCCCTGTGCCCTCTGCTGCTGTCCTGCTGAGTCTTAGCCCAGGAACCCTTGAGGGCTATGCCTTCTCCGCCTCACCACGTGAGGACTGTGGCCACCGCTGGCTCTGGTGATGAGCAGATCCCCCCACGGACCACGTTAGTTCACTCAGTCAGAGTGCTCTCTGTCTCCTGCTTCCTTCTCTTCAGGCCACTAGAGCCCCTGCATTCAAAAAGACTACAGCTCCAAGTTCCTTAGCCAAGCTTAACACTGAACTTAGGGATGTTTTACCAAGCACCCGATTGTTACTAGCAGGGGTGGGTGGGTGTCAGAGGCAGAGTTAGCATGTGATTCCACAACAGTAAAAACCACCTCCACCTTCTCACTTTGGATAAACCCAAAATTCAATTGTTCTCTGCCTAGCATCTTAAAAATCACCATCCCAAAGGCCTGAAATCTCCCATGGCACACTCTGCCCATATTCCCATTCTGTAGGTGAGGAAACTGAGGTTCAGTTAGATGCAGTAACTCAACAGATCACACAGCAAAAGCAAGACTGGAATCAACCTTGCCTGGCTGCCAAGCCCAGGCTTTCCTTCTGTGTCTATCCCTGCCCTCTGGGGCTCTGGCCTCTCCCTCCTTACTGGTCACTGCCTTCTCTCTCCCCAGTGACACTCTGAACATCGTGGCGTCCGATCATCGGCCATTCACCACAAAGCAGAAAGCTATGGGGAAGGAGGACTTCACCAAAATCCCTCACGGTGTGAGTGGCGTGCAGGACCGCATGAGTGTCATCTGGGAACGAGGAGTGGTAGGTGTCCCCGCCCTTCCGTCCGAGCCAAAGACCTCCCGTGAGAGGCTGGTTCAACCGCAGCTGCCTGTTTCGCTCAAAAACAAGACGAAAGACTGAGTGCATGGTTCAGTGGTGGAGCCTGTACTTAACATGCACAGAGCCCTGGGTTCTACCCCCAGCATCCCCAAAAACATAAGACAAAAAGGTTTCTTTCCCCCCGATCAGAAAGTTGATTAATTATAAATTTCTACCAGAGAAATTTGGAAAAATACCAAACATCAGAAAAAAATAGATTGAGGTAATTCCATGCTTAGAAATTCAACTGTTAACATCTTGGTAAATTTCTTCCTACTTCAATGCATGTACTATATTTCAATAACTGGATTCATTTTTTCTTCAGTATGATAGTATATCCTGAGTGTCCTAAAACATCTTTAGCTGGGAGACTGAGGCTGCAAGATCGCAAGTTCAGGCCCACTCTGGACAACTTAACAACTTAGTGAGATCCTGTGTCACTGAAATAAAACAAAGTCTTCAGTCTTAGCTCCGAGTGAAGGCCTTGACTTCAATGCACAGTACAGTAAAAAATTTTTTAAACTTCCATGATGACTGAATCATATTCCCTCCGATGGATGTGCCATATGTAATCATGTCATCCTTCACAGTTTTCCTAATTTTTGGCTGCTTCAAACTATTGCATTAATAATGGTGCACAGAACATTTTTTATTCATGCATGGCGTCTCTAATTAATTCTTTAGGACAGATTCCTAGAAGCGGATCCTGGGCCAAGGGATATGAGCATTTTTAAGGTTCTTGGTATAGTTTGTCTCATTACATTTCAAAAAAGATAGGAACTAGAACTTCATTTGAATACCACCTGCTCTGCCCATGAAGAATGAGTATTTTTGATATTCATCTATCATGGTTCAGACTCAACACAGAGTATCAGCTCCAAAGAGATTTGAAGTGCTAAACGTTAAGCCAGCTGCTCAGGGAAGGGCCACACGCTGGCTCAGGAAATGCCATTTGAACAGAGCCTACATGGTTCTCGGGAAGAGTGGATGGAAGGGACCAAAAGATGCTTTCCCAAAACACACAGTCTGTGTCATTCTCCCTTATGCAGTTTCCATTATCTGTGCTCAACCTTGGTCTGCAGATATTAAATGGAAAATCCCAGGACAAAATAGTTCATAAGTTTGCAGTAACATTTACTCTATTTTATTCTTAGTCATTGTTGCTAGTCTCTTACAGTTCCTACCTGATAAATCTTTTCATAGGAATATGTATGTGCGGGGGGACACACAGTCTCACCTTGGGTTCAGTACTGTCTGCAGGCCTTGGAACCTGTCCCCGCAGACAGATGATGGGGAATGACTGAACCCCTTTGCAGGTGAAGGGAGACCCCAAATCACCCCTTATGCACACATAAGTAGAGTCGGTTAGGAACAAGAGGCAGAGGTGTACGTGCACTGGGTCGGCAGCCTTCCAGCACCAGAGCCCCCTCGCCATTGCTACTGGATGGAAAGAGGCGTAAGGCTCCTGTGGGGCCAGAGCCTGCTTAACTTGGCACTTTTGCAATATCTCAGGTTGGAGGGAAGATGGATGAGAACCGTTTTGTGGCCGTCACCAGTTCCAACGCTGCGAAGATCCTCAACCTGTATCCCCGAAAGGGCCGTGTGATCCCTGGTGCCGACGCTGATGTGGTGGTGTGGGACCCAGAAGCCACAAAGTAAACTTTGCTGCTAGTCTTCAGGACTCGAGGGACTTGGGGACCCCAAAGGCATATAATCTTTGTACCACTCTAGCCTGGAGAAATGTGACCCGCTTGCTGACTGCTTTCTTCTCCCGCTGTCTTCACATGGTCTTTCCTCTCTACACCCATGCACCTGGTGTCACTTTCCCCTCTCCTCACAAGGACATCAGTCAGATTGGGTCAGGGCCACCCATGTGACCTCACTGGACTTCAAAAGACCCCCTTCCAAATATGGTCCCATTCTAAGGTCGGGTTAGGATATGAATATAGGAATTTTGAGGGGACACAATCAGCCCGAGTCCATCCCTTCCCAGCAGGCGGGCTCACTTTTTGTGGATCAGGGATGTCATCCCTTCTTCTCAGCTTTCTCCCCTGCCCTTGTCTCCCTCCAGGACCATCTCTGCCAGCACCCAGGTGCAGGGGGGAGACTTCAACCTGTACGAGAGCATGCGCTGCCATGGTGTGCCACTGGTCACCATTAGTCGGGGCCGCGTGGTCTATGAGAATGGTGTCTTCATGTGTGCCGAGGGCACTGGCAAATTCTGCCCACTGAGGTCCTTCCCGGACACTGTCTACAAGAAGCTGGTCCAGAGAGAGAAGGTACCGTGCTAAGGGCAGAAGATGTGTGGGAAGAGGGTGAGGCAGCCTTTGCTGCCTATTCCAGGTTGAGATTGCAATACAGAGCTGGTTTCCATTCTCCATCTTTGATTCCTGGATAGAATTTCAGCAAGTGGTCAAATACAGTCCTGGGTTCCCTGGAACTGGCTGCTGAGTGCCTCTTGATATGCAAGCTCTAGGGCCCTGGAGCAATGTCCATTGCTTGGTACACACACACACACACACACACACACACACACACACACACACACTCCCCTGCTGTGAACTAAGGCAGGAGGAGCTGGTATTTGGAAAGCCATCATCAAAGCCTGAGAGTAAGTGGGTGTCCTTCCAGCTCTCCATGCTTGGCTCTGTGTTGTTAGGTCCCGAGCTCTTCTCTGAGCCAGGTCTGCTATGGGGGTGGGGGGTGGCGTAGGTGGTAGGAACAGGCTGCAGTTACCACAGTGTTGAATCAAAATACAAGCTCAGGGTCTCTCACTCATTCAGGCAGGTGAATGGTCCCTCCTTTTCCAGAGTGCTCCCCAGGCATTGATGGTGGTGGGGTGCCTCAGCTTTCCCTCTAGAAGAGGTGCCAGAAGGAGTAGAAGAGGCCAGATGTGGTGGTGCATGCCTGTGATCCCAGCACTGTTGGAGGCTGAGATGGGAGGATCACAAGTTCAAGTCCAGACAGGGCAACTCAGTGATTTAGTGACACCTTGTCTCCAAATAAAAATGGGCAGCAGGTATAGCTCCGTGTGAGGCCTTGTCTAGAGAGACAGACAGACAGACAGAGACACACATACACAGACAGAGAGAAGGGGGGAGGGAAAGAAAGGAGCGGGGAGGAAAAGGAGCTAGAAGAGAAATGTGTTGATACACAAGATTATCTAATAAGGGGAGGCTGTACTCAGAACACAATAACAAGTGTTGGTGAGGATGTGAAGGAACTGGAACCTTCATTCATTGCTGGAAGAAATGTGAAATGGTGTAGCTGCTATGGAAAACAGTTTGGCTTTCCCAAAATGTTAAATCTAGAGTTGGCATAGGACCTAGCAATTCCATTCTTAGCTATGTACCCAAAAGAAATGAAAACATCTACACAAAAACATGTGCATGATCGTTCATAGTAGCACTATTGATAAAGACCAGAGTGGAAGCAACCCAAATGTAGGTTAACTGTTGACTGGATAATCTAATTGTGGTGCGTCCATTCAGTGGAATAGCATTCAGCCACAAAAAAGGAACGGAGTACTGATAGACCCTGCATTCAACAAGGACAAATCCTGAAACCAAATTCTAATTTTTTTAAAAAGCCAGATAAAAAAGGAAACATTTTGTATGCTTCAACTTATATGAAATATCCAGAAGAACAAATCCACACAGAGAAAGTAGATTTCTAGTTGTTTAGAGAGTTAGATGAGAAAGAGAGGAGTAGATAGGAGGTTTCCTTTGTAGGTAATGCAACTGTTTGGAATTAAACAGTGGTGATTGTGGCACACCCTGGTGGATATACCAAAGCCCACTGCATTGTAGACTTTAAAATTGTGAGCTTCTTGATATACTGGCTATATCTCAATTTGAAAAAAAATAGTATCTGACAACAGTTGTGGCAATCTCTAAAAAGACATTAGTCAGGAAAAAAGATGAAAAGGAGCCAGAGCAAGTGTCTCAAGCTTCTTAAAATCAGGTCTCTCAAGCAGTGGCTGAACACCAGTTCCCAAGGGCCCACGGCTGGGCCAGCACAGGGAGGGGCACCAGCCACAGGCTAACAAGCACCAAGGGGTGACAGGACAAGCACAGGCAGAGCGTTTGCAGCTCATGCCAAGGGGTGAAGCCCTGCCCGTCATGGAGGGAGAGCACCTGGTCCCTGTGTTCCCAGAAAGTGCAAAGGGGAACCCAGGCTCTTGATGTCCTGCAGAGCCATAAAAGCAGCGCCTGAGCAGAGAGCTGCGCTTAGAGAGAGTGCCTGTGTGAGGCACACTTGGGCCACTCCATCTTGCACAGTAAAGGAACATGGGTTTCTGCTGGGGCCATGGCTGTGCCCAGCAACCTGCCTGCGCTAGGAACACCACAAGACCACCTTTGAGCGATGCCTTCTTTCCTCCACATTGACCTCGGGGCTGTCACACAGTGACAGAAGCTTATGATCACACAATGGTCAACTATAGTGAAGATGCAGCCCTGGCCCAGGCTGAGCACTGAGACTACCATGGAGCTTGCCAGAGGCCCTAGGGGCAGAAAGCCCAGAAGCTGGGATAAGCCACCTTACCTCCCAGAGAGACAAGAGAGGCCCCTGTGTTCTTGTGCCTGTGCATACAACTTCCAGGAAGATACAAGATCTTTGAAGCAGATGGAGTTTCTGTTGCAAAATATAACATAGAAAGTTGGGTGAAGTCAAAAGATTCCACAGAAGCTGGGCATGGTGGCGCACGCCTGTAATCGCAGCACTCAGGAGGCTGAGGCAGGAGGATTGCTGTGAGTTCAAGACCAGCCTGAGCTACACAGTGAGTCAGGGCAGAGTCTGGGCATGGTGGCGCACGCCTGTAATCGCCACACTCAGGAGGCTGAGGCAGGAGGATTGCTGTGAGTTCAAGACCAGCCTGAGCTACACAGTGAGTTTCAGGTCAGTCTCAATTGCATAGCGAGACCCTGTCTCAATAAACAAACAAACAAACAAACAAAGACTCCAGAGAGATGGGGAAGATATTTTACTAAGAAAAGAAATGGTTTTGAGGGGAAGGCTGGATAGCCCTGAGAACTGATAAGAAACAGAATGTTACCCTGCTTCCATAACACCAGAGATCAGGAACTGTGGTACAGCGTTGGCCAGCGAGTCCCACTTAGACTTCTAACCTGGCCCAGATGTTTAGACTGGGCTGCCACCTGGGGTAATAGTAATACTTCCTCAGGAAGTTTTGTGAGAATTACATATGTTGATACATGTAATGTCCTTAGAATAACATCTAAGTGCCTAAAAAGTGTTAACCTTTGTTACTCTTTCCCATTTCAAAGAGAAAAGTGTAAGGACACAGGTTGGTGGAGAAAAATTCAACAAGAACATTCCAGCAAGCATGCTGGGGTTGATGTAAATTCAATCCAGGGACGCTTTATCTAAATCATTATTCTAATGACACTTTGAGGTCTTCAGGAAGAAGCCAATTATAGTCCCTGTTCGGCCACACCCCTCTGGTAACAGGGTGCAGAAAAAAGGATCCAAATAAATAAACAAAACTCACTTTCCAGACATTGCAAGTGAGCAGCCCCTAGAGTGAAGACTTGAGGGAAAAGAGCAGGGGGATCAGGAGACAAAACGCAACCTGGTAGAGGCCTAAACCTTTCAGCCCTGGCTTGGCCTTCTGAGGCTGGACAAGGCTGGAGCAGAGCTACAAGGATGAGGGGCCTTTGGAAATCGTCCCCATGTCTGTTTTTCTCACAGCGACATTGCCGTTGTGTCTGAGGTCATGTCCCGGAGCAGCCAGGTGGAGACGTGCTCCTACAGACCTATGCACACATTTCACACCCTCTTCCTCAAGGTAGTGCTTCTCCGTGTGGCAAGCCCAATGAGCTGGACCAGAGCAGTTCTAGGAGCTCTATATATGCCAGGTCTTTGGATGTCATAACAACAGATTTCATAAGAAAACAACAGATTAATTCTCACCTGGCCACACAGCTCCCAAAGGGTAGAACTGGGATGAGAACCCAGGCAGCCTGGCTGCTGAATACAGCCCTTAACCCTGATCCTTTGTGAGGACAGAACTAAGTATCGCTATTCCCTCTAATCCCACAGTTGTCAGACAGCATTAAGAGGCACGGCCCGTGGGAAGCTGGCGGTGAGAGGGTAACATTACCCTGTGTGAGAGGTGTCTCAAAGAGCGCGTCTCTACTCTGCGCCTGTGCACACGCTCACACCTGCACCCGTGCGCATGCGCTGTTTAGGAGGCTCGAGCGTTCGGTAGTCCCGGGGCTCAAGGCGCAAGCGGCCTTGTCATCTGCACGACTTGGGACCTGAGCACAGTGGCAGCGTCCGACATCCCATCCGCCCTCAAGGAGGCTGCAGCCGTCTGCCTCGCGCTAATGCTGCTGTCTCTTCCAGACTTTAAAGGTGAGGGGTGTGGACCGCACTCCCTACCTGGGGGACGTCGCAGTTGTCGTGCATCCCGGGAAGAAAGAGATGGGCACGCCGCTGGCAGACACCCCCACGCGGCCCGTCACCCGACACGGGGGCATGCGGGACCTCCACGAGTCCAGCTTCAGCCTCTCTGGTAAGGATGAGGGCGTGCCACGGGCCAGTGGGGTGACGATCGCCCCTCCCGGCCCTATGCCCCGCGCCCATCAGACGCTGTTACTAGTGGGCCTGACGGGCCAGGCCCACCTGGGCTCTCTTCCTGGGTTCTGAGGATATTTTCCTCCCTGGAATATCTCGAGCGCCCTGTTCACAGGGAAACCCTTGACGTGACCCCAGCACAGAAGGTGCGGTGCTCCCTGGCTCATGGGACGGCAACCCTTCTCCCTCTCCAGCTTCTCCAAAGAGTTTGTTACCCTGCTATTCGTGTAACTCTTCCTCCCTCAGGCTTTTGCCCTCCTTTCATCTTTTTTTCTAACCAAGGGTTGTATATACAATATGTTGCATTAACATTAAGATCTTTTACTCTTAACTTCTGGCTTCCTGTTTCTCACCTTATCTCTCTGTCTTGGACCATGTTCTGGCTCTGCCCTATCTGCAGAATTTCTGGGTTCCTTGAACATGTCCCATCCTTCTTTTCTTTTCTTTTTTTTCTTTCTTTCCTTCTTTCTTTTTTCAGTACCGGGGATTGAACTCAGGACCTAGTGCTTGTAAGGTAGGTACAGCACCACTGAGCTAAATCCCCAGCCCCCAGCCCCTGTCTTAATGCCAGCATCTCTCACCAACATCCTGGGCTCCTCTAGGCCGTGGCTCTCTGTTCCCTAGGGACTTTATTGTGGTCAACAGCATAAATGCCACGCACTCCCCGGTACTTGGGAGAGGTCCTCACCTCATAAATGGTAACCCCTGTGGAGACCACGGATGGGCGAGAGATGCGTGCCCTGGTCCTCCAGGCAGCACTGGTGGAAACTGCCACCCCACCTGAATGGGGCTGGGAACCCGAGGACAGCCAGAGAGGATCTGCTTGGCAAGGGCTGTACTTGGAGCAGGGATGGCAAGAGGAGTAAGACCTGGGCCATTCTACCAGCAGAGTAAAGGATGAGGCCAAACATCGTCACAGTATGAGAGACAGCAGCCAAGCCAGAGGGCTGGGGAGGGGACCTGCCTACTGCAATTCCTCTGTGCCCAGCTTTATGTGGAGAGCAGACCACAGCAGGGACGTGTGGCTCCCAGTGGAGGTGCTGGTGGCCCTTGGGGAGGGATCTCTCCCACTCACGTGTCCTGAGAGCCACTGCCACTTCCACTAATGATGGGACACAACAGCCAGGGGCCAGAGAGATGTGTGTCTGGAGGATTGTTGGACACTTGGGCCTCATAGTCCAGCAGGTGAAGATTCCCAGGGCTGCAAGGCCCCACTGGTCTTTCTGCCCCTGCTCCAAGACTGGGCAGAACTCCATTCAGACATCTGCCCTGGCACCCTGTCACCTCCCCTGCATCCCAGATCTTGGCTGGTCTAGGTGGGACAGGCTGAAGAATGCCCCACTCTGTTCTCTGGGGCTCCCTTTCTATCTAAGTCTTGGGATTTCAAGATGTGGGGGCCTTGGGATAAGACTCTTTCCTTTTCCAAAGCATTAGGCTGCCCTCCTTGTATCCTGTCTCACCTCCTCACTGAGATATGTGTGCAAAGGCACGTGTGCAGACAGGCTGACATGTGGTCCGTGTACACTGAGAGAGACCGTGTGCTCCAGCTTGGGAGCAGTGAGGTGGCATAGTGAATGTGCAGTTGATCAGATAGGCTCTGAGCAGGGAAACCTCTGGTTCCAACCCAATCTCTACCCCTTCCACACTGCAATGGGGGCCTGTTTCCTCCTGGGTAAAGCTGGATGGAGTCGTGGTGAGGACTCAGTGAGATCATACTCTTGCAGAGTCAGCTCAGCCCCTTTGCGGCCTGTTAGGAGGAGGAGCAGCCTGCCTCACCCTCTGTGCTTCCTTACCCACAGGTTCTCAGATCGACGACCATGTCCCAAAGCGAGCCTCAGCTCGGATCCTCGCGCCCCCTGGAGGCCGGTCGAGCGGCATTTGGTAAAGGAACGAACCAGCCCCGGCAAGTGAGGCTACACCGCGGCCACCTGCCGCCCGCAGCTGCAGGGGTCAGGAGAGGCTGGGCTGGGCAGCGCACCGCCTGCGGGGGCCCCAGGACCCGGGACCCCCCTCGCCAGAACGTGATTCACTGGGCTTCGAGCCACCCCTAACAGGCACTTTGAGCTGTCCTTCTGCTGTGCTCCTCTCCTGCCTTGGCCTGGGTAGGCTTCTCTGGGGGCCCTGAGAGCCCGCACTATGCACAGAGCCCTCTGCATAGCATCTGCCCAGCCCCTCCTGTCACCACTGCCTCTTGTGCTGGCTCTAGGAGGCCCAGATTTTAGTGCCCTGGTCCTGGCCACCCGGTCTGGTGTCCAGAGCACTTTAGCAGATGCGTTTTATAAGTAAAGACCTCCCTCTCCTACCCCCTTAGACCCTGCGTTGACATTTCCCAAGTCAGACGCGTGTCAGCTCCCAGCCATTCCCAGGACATCCTGGGCGTGGGTGTGGTTGGGACACCCTGTGCCCTTTGCCAGCCTCTGTACTCCACACCACACCCTCCGGGAGTCCCAGGCCCGGAAGGATAGCTGGGTGGGGTCCAAAGCTGGTGCCAGGCGCGTGTAAATGGTTTTGTTCTGCACGTTTGGTTTGCGCAGTGGTTTGGTTTGACTTGTTTGTGCATCCTGTGGAAAATAACGGTGCTTTGTGTCACTAGCATAGCATAGAAACAGCAATAGATGTGGTCTGTAGGAGACGCTGCACTCGCCACCAACCAGAGCACAGGGTGGGGTGGGGGGCTGCAGCCCTCTCCCCGCCTGGGCTTCTCCAGCTGCTTAGGCCCTGGGCGGGGCCCTTGCCCTCCCCTCTCCTCCTGGTCAGGTTTTCTTCATTCCGAGTGGGCGCCTGGTGCTGGCCCTGGATACCTGCAGGCAGCAGGGTGGCCCTTCCCATCTCTGCCCTTGGTCATCCCCAGCACTAACCCTGCACACACACACACAGATGCACACAGGCAAACATGCACCCACACTCAGAGCTTCCTGTACCTTCCTGTACCTGCTGGACAGAGGCCTGGCTACTCCTCCTGTGTGATTGGCAAGAGGCCGAGTGCCTGCTGAGAGGGAGGAGTGGTGGGTCAGCGGGGCCAGGGAGGGAGCCCGCGTGCCCTGCACAGGTACTGTGGGGTCCTGTGGTCAGAACTTTGTCCTCAATGGCGGCAGCTTCATCGCCCTGCATGTCCAGTGGGCCGTCCTCTCCTGGGAAGCTCCTCAGGGGTCCCCGTAAGAACTTTTTATCCACCCCGAGTGATCTGGGAAGTAGCCCCGCCTGCCCTTGAACACCTTGTTTCCCCCTCGGGAAGTGGTTTCGTGTCATACCCTTGGTTTGAGCACACCAAGCCTGCGGGAGGCCCCCACACATCCCTGTAGTGCTCTTCATGTACCAAAGCGCTTCCGTGTGCGGGCTCTCACTTGGTCCTCAGAAGGTGGGACATATTCAGTGGCACTTCAGTTCACAAGCGCTTTTGTTGCAAACAGTTTGGTTTGCAAGCAGAAGCATTTGGCAGAATTTTGTGTTTGTTCACCAGCTTCCCATCAGGTGACAAACAGAACCGAAGCCATCTTTCCTACACAAACACAAACGTGGCCATATTTTACAAAACCATAGAACAAATTAAGTTCATGAACGGAGGTACCACTGTGTCATTCTCCCCCCTTTTACGTATGTGGGAACTGAGTCACAGAAGGTTTTGGCCGTCTGGCCCCAGAAGTAGCCATGACCACCTTATGGCCTTGGCTGTCCAGCCTAGCTGTGGAGAGGGGGTGGAAGTGGTGGCTGTTGTTGATCCTGCCAAGAGTATGACCAACAAGAAGACTTACTCCCCAGTAGGCATTCTGCTTTGTTTTGCACAAGTAGATAGATTTTTTTTCTTCAGCTTTGTTGTAAACATACTAATGCATATTCTTGGTTTGAGCCAGGGCTAGAACAGGCTTCCCATGTGGTTTGAGCTGCATCCACATCTTCCCTTTACTCCCAGTGTCCTCCCTTGGGGCTGAGAGGACAGATGGTAACCCAGGGAGCAGAGGTACACAGGTAGGGCCCTGGGCTTGAGAAAGCCATCACGGATAAGGGAAACTGTGACACTGACCCCTGGTACAGTGCTTTTGGCCCTTGCTGGGTCGTGCCCCTGGGCAGATGCCAGAGAGCCAAGTGGAGGTGGGGCCAGCTGGGCAGAGCAGCCTGCTTGGGTGAGCAAAGCTTTACCTTCTCTTAGTGGCTCCACCCAAGGATGCGTGACCTGGGGCACCAGGAGACCACATCTTGGAGGAGCGCACTGTGGGCCTTCCAGTGCACCCACCCTACCCTTCCATAGATTCTGCCCTTGCCCAGGAGCTTCTAGGCGGAAATCAGGAGGTTCAAGGAGCTAAAAGAACAGTCACCCCCACACCCACCCCCTGCCCCAAGCAGAGCTCCAGCCAGCTCCATCTCTAGCCCCGATGGCCCTTGGCTGGAACAGAAAGGTTCTCTGGTTGCACCGAATGCAGCTCTCAAACTGGTCTTGTACTTGCTGAATAAATACTGTTGTTCTTGCCTTAGCTGCTCTCTAGGTTTGTGGGGTTAAGTTACCAGAAAATTGTGCTACTGTGTGTGTGTGTGTGTGTGTGCGTGTGTGTAGTGCTAGGAGTCCACAGTAGGTCTCTGTCAAGCCAATGCCGCGATGAGGGCTTTTCCCACACTGACCCAGAAACCACAGAACCGCGTGGAAACCACACCCGCTCCAGCTGCTGAGGCAGCAGGCACATCCTGGGGTCCGGACGGAGCCTCCAGCACCCAAGTGACTTCCTCATTCCTCTGTAAATGTCATGGTGCTAAGATTGTGTCAACCCCAAGTTGACACACAGTCCTGCTCGAGGCAAACACAAAACAGCCCGACACATTGTGTTCTGGTGCAGGTTTGTATTAAACTGTAGCTACTTCTCGCTTGGTCTCTGTTGTGTTTATTCAAAGAACAGGCAGTTTGGCAGGTGGCAGGCTTCAGTGGCTAAGAAAACTCAGCTTTGATCCATCACTCCTTTCAGGAGGCGGCTCCCCGGGAGGCTGAGCAGCCTGGAGTTTTAAAAGTTGGGTGACAAAGAGATGGGAGCAAAACCAAGATTTTTGGTGCCTGATTTTCCGGGACAAGGTTGCTAAATTATCTCAAACAGGAATGAGGGACAAGCATCTAATGCAAAAGGGAAAAAACTAGACTCCCCGCACCTACTCTTTGGCGCTGTTCTCTTGGTTCCTGTGTGGGAAGCCCGAGCCCCCTCCCCATCCATCGTGACTGAGACAGATGGAACTACGCCCTCAGCATCAAATGACAAAGCGCTGTCCCACAGCCTTCACTGTTCCCTGACCTTCTAGAACTTCACCTTTGGGGTGACCCACTGTGTACCCTTAAAACCCCGTCCACTGCATCAAAACTCCCCTTTATCCACTCAGCTGGATGTTGGAAGATTGATTAAGCTCGTTCACGCTAAAGAGTGAGTGGATCATTGCTTCTAATATTTTGTGGCCACTTGCACTTTTTTCTCAATACCTGCACCACACAAAGACAAAACTCTAATGAGGGAATTTTGGGTAGTGTGGAGGAAATCCACATTAACAGAACATTAACAGAATTTGATTAACTGCCTAAAGTCCCTCGTAAGCGTCTGGGTTGAAATCCACAGGGCTGCACACATGACAGGCTACGTGTAAGGTGTCAGGTATGCTACTGAGAAAGACGAGAAGAGATCTGAAAGGCACTGGGTACCTAAGCGTGTGTGAGGTTGAAAAATAAGAGCACAGATTCAGACTTCAAAATAAGGCTTGATTGCTTAGGAGCATGTGCATTAGAGAAAGCTGAACCAGTCAGCAGCAAAGTAGCCTCAATTTCCTAGCTCAGAATTACAGGTTGACTTCCACACACAGGTGCAGCTAAACTACGATTTGCCTTGTAGTCAGTGGAGGAGGAAAGGGTTCAGGGCACCCTAGGTACAAAGACGAAACCTCAAGTGGGTGCAGAGGTGCACATCTGAAATTCCAGCTACTCTGGAGCCTAAGGTAGGAGGATCACAAGTTTGAGGCCAGCTTGGGAATTTAGCAAAACCCTGTCTCAAAAAATAAAAAGGGCTGAGGATATAGCTTAGTGGTCCTTGTGGTGTGGGGGAAATCTGCACACCACATTTGAGAGCATTAACAGAATTTGATTAAATGAATCAAATTCATAACATCTGGATTAAAAACTGCACAGCCATACATTTGATGGGCTATGTGCATGGCGTCAGGAGGACTACAGAGAAAGACAGGAGAAGGAATTGCAAAACAACACCTCAAAATCTAGGGAGGGTAGATATAGTCCTAATTAAAAGTCCTTTAGGGCTGGGGATTTAGCTCAGTGGTTCTGCCACGTGCCTTACAAGCACAAGGACCTGAGTTTGAACACTGGTACCCCCCTAAAAAAGTCCTTTAGCAGTTTTGCCAATCATGCCTTTTCTTCTTGAGCTTAATTCTATGCTAAAACCTGATTTTAAAACACCTTGTGTTTCATAGTATTCTGCTTTACATCGATATATTCATCCTGTCTGAGTACTATCTTTCTGACTAGAATCAGGTGCATCAGATATTTTTCTCCAAATGGAAATTCTTCACTTTCTTACTCTTAAAAGCAAGTTGTCATTTGAGACTCTGAAATTTCTGGGTGTCGTTTTTCACTAGACAGATGCCACAATTATGCAAATTGTGCCCCTCCAAACCCTTGTGCAGAGAGGCATTCTTTTCCTGCCTGCAACCAAGATCACCTCATGCTGAAAACTTGCACATAGTTATGTGTATTTCAGTTTCATCATCTACTCAGAGCTTCTTGCTTTATTGGAATTCTCAGTTGTAAAGTTGCTCAAATGTAAAGGAAGTTATTCCTGGAGCCCTGGATTTAGCTCAGTGATGCCACTGCCTGCCTCACAAGCGCAAGGTCCTGAGTTCGATCCCCAGTACCACCAAAAAAAAAAAAAAAAAAAAAAAAAAAAAAAGGAAGTTATTCCTTTCTGATCAGTTCCCAGTTCCATCAAGTTTTAAGGCACTTCAGGAGTTCATTTCAGACTTCTCAGAAGTGTTTGGTCTCCTTGCTCCTGAGGATGCAGAAGCCCGAGAAAGTGACCTCTTGGGGGTACTGTGAGCATCCTGTGCCCTGCAGAGGAGGAGACACCTCGAGGCCCACCTTGGCCTAGTGCTCATCTGACAGAAGTCATGGGGTTCAAGAAAAGGGGACCCGGTAGCTCCATCGAGGACACCTGAGGCTGAGGGGCCACATGTAGGGGCTACGGCCAGGCTGTCAGGAGTGAGTTGTCTTCAAAGTGGCCTGAAAGCTGTATCTTTTCCGAGTTGTGGAGGTTTGAGCTTCTGCTTCAGGAACGCTTTTCTAGTTCCTACTTGACGTCTATAATAAGTTTCCTAACTTCTTCCGGGTATGGGTATGAGAAGCAATGAAAGGATTTTGCCTTTTATAATTCTCATTTCTCCACAGCTGCCATACTTTCATCTGACATTGAGGCCTTGAGAACTATGATAATTTTGGACATCTCTGCCATTTGTTTGGTTTTGGTTTTCATTTTTTCTTTTGAGACAGGGTCTTATTGTGCAATTCAAGCTGGCTTTGAACTATGTAGCCCGGGCTGACCTCAAAATTGGTAATCCTTCTGCCTCAGCCTCCCGAGTGCCAGGATTACAGGTGTGCACCACCACACCTGGCCCAGTTCCATTCTTTAAACAAATCCCGTGCACTGGGGGAACATGATCTGCTTGTGGATGGGGCTCCCTTCCTGATCCTTGGGCTGAAGTAATCTTAAGTCAGTCCAGTCAAGTGTTTCTCAGCCAGGGGCAACTCTGTCCTCCAGAAGACATCAGTAATGTTTGAATGCGATTTTTGGTCGTTACAACTTAGAGGGGAGGGTTACTGGCATCTACTGGGCAGAGACCAAGGTGCTGCTAAATGTCCCGCAGTGCACAGGGCAGCCTCCTCAGTAAGGACTGTTCAGTCCTAAATATCAGCAGCGCCAGGTTGAGAAGTCACGGTCTAGCTTAAAGGTGAAATAGGACACTCAGGTGCTTTAGGAAATAATACAGGAAAAATGTGAGAGGTGGGAGAGGTAGCTCCCCTCATAGTGCTACCTTATGTGGCAAAACATTCTGAGCTAAAACACCCCAAGGACGGAGCTGAACTGCAGCATCGCAGAAAGGAGTAAGGAAGCTGCTGGAGAATAAGACTGCATAGAAACTCACGGTGTTTACCCCGGGGCTTTATCCAGCAATTCTCCACAGGGACCGTGCTGTGCCAGATCCTGCCACAGTCACAGGACAGTGCTGCAGAAAACAGCAGACCACTCACGTGGACTCTAATCGCGACTCTGCCTTCAAAGGAAAGAAGTTAAGTACTCTATCACCTAATGGTAGCTTGACGGCTGTCACATCTCAATTCCCTACCGGTGGAAAGAACAGACTTTTATGCATGGGTGTGAGCTAGGACTTTCTCTGGGAACTGTTCTGTGGCCAGGAGAAGAGGGGGCAATTCTGAAAACGGGAGGAAAGAAGAAGACCTCATGATACAGTTGGGGAAGGGAGAGGAACATTATGCACGTAAGCAACATTCAAAAATGCTATTGGGAGAGGGGACATACTACACACCTAGCAAGGGTCACAGTGTTTGGGAACATAGTAAGGATTTATCTTTTTTCTCAACTCAAATGTTCTTCTTCAAGTAACAAACATACAGAAAAGTGCAAAGATCTAAGTATACAGCTTGATGACTTGGTGTAGAGATGGAGACAGGCTATTACCAGCACTGAGAATCCTGTTTTGGGACCCCTCAGTAGGAAGGGTGACTTCCCCTGGAAGGACAGCTGTCCTTCTGACTTTTAGTACTATATATTAGGATTGCCTTCTCTGAACTCCACGTCTCTTATTAGACACGCTCTGTGCTGGCGTTTTTGTTCAATATTAAACTGTAAAGTAAAATTTTAAGACATTCTGTCATATTGACTAGCTTTCCTCCTCTGTGATGTGCAGCATGGTTTTAAGTGCAGGGGTGATTTTGCCATCATTGTACACAAACACGTACACTTATATATAAGGTAAAGGCGTGCGTACATGTGAAAGCTAAACGTGAAGTGCTTTTTCCATTGATGTAGAGTGAGATTGTGC